AAACATCAATCACTTGGGACACAAGGTATGAAGGAACTAGAAAAGGATATAAATAAGATTACCTGAGATTTTCATAAAAGTGTAGTGTTCATGTTATATGAGGAATAAGGTGGAGAAAATACATCAAATTATTTCCCTAAAACAATGTATATTCCTTCCAAGGGTAGGATAAAGAATTGTTGTTGAAGTTGGTGTTATCATCTCGATATCTTTAACAAGCTTTGTAGCTCTAGCTACCAAGAACAAATTGCTTGAGGACCAAAACACCAAAATTATTAATGATTATCCATTAACAAATAAAAAGAGATTAGCCAAGTTTCTTGACCCAATGATTATAAGGTTTATCTTAGGATACAAGTGTTAGAAAAGATTATGGTTAATTTAAGAGGGGGGTGAATTGGATTTTTTTTTTTTAAATCTTACAACTTTCTTGGATAAAAACTCTTCTTAGAAATTTTAGTTGAACCCATTGATCTAAACCATGGTGGAATGAGTGTGCTAAAAATTAACCAATGCAAGTATGAATCAAACTATCCTACATGTTATGCTTTTGATGCAATATATAGATTAATCAACATGCATTCATATTAAATAGGCAAATTAATAAAAATCAAGTAAGAGTAAGAGAAGCTTGCATAAAGATTTATATTGGTCTAGTCACCACCATTATGACCTATATCTAGTCCTTAATCAACTCGATTGAGTATTTCCATTAATCTTTAATATCCGAAGGTTTACAATCACAATTCACATGTAATTCAATTCAAATAATTAAAGACACCCACTTCTTGAACCCTACAATAAACCTTTCTACCTTGAGAAACCTACTCAAGAACAAATAAATAATAAGTAAAGGTATCATCTGATGCATAGAACAATATGAATAGGTGAAAGATTAAATCATTTAGTCACAATTCTTCAAGTAGATTGATGATGATGATGATTCAATTCTCTTGATTCATGATAGAACAACGCATAAAGGGTAACACTCCTTTTCTATCAAGAACCCTTAACTTAGAAGCTCACATAGTTGTTCAAAAATCGTAAAAGTTCAATTCTCTCTATGTTTTGAAAATGAAAAACTTATATAGAGTTTTCTTTATGTGATGAATAATTGATTATTTTGTTTTTCGCAAATCTAAAAGCTCACTAAGAACACTTTAATCAATTATTTTTTAGAATAATCAATTATTTCATAAAATTTTATGAAATAATTGATTATTTAGTAAAATAATCAATTATTTTCGCAACTATTTTTAGGTTACTTGAAAACAAGGCAAATAATCAATTAAAACTAAAGATAACCAATTATTTTGAGTAAAAATCTAATACTTTGATTTTTCACTCTAGATCTTTTCCAAATCAAATTTTAAACCGCATAATTATTAATCTACATCATCAATAATCAACTTATATGAAAGATAGCATACTAATTATTGATTTAACACTAAAGTACAAAACTAAATATGCTCAAAGCAAATTACACAAGACAAATTTCAAGTTACATTTTTAATGATCAAGAGGCTTATACAATTACATTTGTAATTATCAATGGAGGGTTGACTTGGTGGTGCCAAGTTTGATTCTTATCTGCATAAAAATAATGTTTGGTCGGTAGAAATCACGTCTCGTGAGCGTAAATTAATCTTTAATTATCAGTTTTGGAATACTGCGTGAACCATGCTCATAGATAGAAAAAAGAAAAAGAAAAAGAGATTGATGTAAGAAATTGAAAAGAGAATAAAATTTATTAAAAAAAATGGCATTATAAAAGGAAACTTACCATGAAAGAAAAAGATGATAAACACGAATATAAGATTAAAAAAAATATTAAATTTTTATAAGAAAAAAAGTATAAATAAATAAAGACTAAATGCCTTTTTTTTTCCTACATCAGACAACTAAAGTTAAGAACTATATTGCTGAACCAAATCAAGTTAAAATAATAAAGGGCCAAAAAATCCTCTAGACTAGGGTTTTCTTAATCTAAAAAAGTCTAATTATTTTTTTTCTTTATTTTATTAATTCTTATTCTCTAATCAATATCTATCAACATGTACAAAAACTTCAATTTTAGAGCCAATGGTAAAGAATTCCAAAGATGATTCCAACATTTAATGAAGAGAAGGTTTGCTAGTTGTTGATAAACAGCAAGCATTATTTACTAACCAAGGCAGAGAAGCAATCAATGGTTTTGAAAAGTTGTGCTCTAAATTGATGGCTTCGGTGGAAATGGCACTACTGGAATGTGATTTAATGGACCTTTGAGAAGGTATTGGTCAACTTAGATCCATCAATTTTGCCCAAGATGGGGAAGGAGAATCTTGAGTGCATGAGAATAAAAGAGAATATGAAGGATAGAGATCAAGGCCAAAACCATGGCAGTGAAGAAGGAACCTATAACATGGAAGCAAAAAAGTGAGGAACAAACATTACAATAAATGGAGTGCAAGACAAGCCTAATCAATCAAATATAGAGGACAAAAGTAAAATAAAGTATAAAAGAATGGTGACACCAGAAAAATGATCAGACTATAAAACTAGATTTTGAAGAATAAAAGAACTAGTCATTTCAAATCCACCACCGAGATGACCAAATGTGGATTTGTCAATGGAGGTGATCTAGGTTGATATGGGTCTATGTCCCAACCATGTGGAGATCAAAGAAGACTAACAAATTTGAGGGAGGAAGAAGGGTCAATATTAGTATTAAAGAGTTTGCTATATGCTTTGATTTAATAAACTAGGCCATGACCATTAAAGGTAATTTTCTCCCAACACTAATGGGGCCCAATGAGGTGTGGCAAAGAAATGGGTGTTAAAAATTAAAGTAGAGAGAAATTGGCAAAGGCTGAGCTATGATTTCTTTTTGATAGAATGACTTGCATGTGATATGAGCTAGACTTGTGTTCAACATGTCTAGTAAATGTTGTAGTAGTTAGTGATGTTTTGAGATGCTTTGGTCAAGTTTTGTTGATTGTTGTATATGTTAGCTTGATTGTCAATGTTCACTATGTTTGTGACCAAGTTGATCCTGCTGGATATGGTAATCAAGAATGATTGGACATGATTGCCAACTTTTGCTATTTTGTAGGTGATACAAGAGAACCAATTGGAATGAGTTTCAAGCACCTATTGAAGCTATTCAGCTAGTCTTAATAAGGGCAACTTGTCTTTCTTGTTCTAGCATTGCATCAATAGCTTGGTCACCATGCTTTAGAGTTCAAACCATAAATTCCCTGTGAGAATTTGTTTTCAGCTAAAACTGTACAGAAGTGGTCAAACCTAAAGTCAGAAAGAGCTTCACCAATAGTGAAGATAACATAGGTGCATGGGTCAATTATTTTGGAATGGCAATGACTAAACTTATCAAAGTTTTTAATTATCAAGATTAAATATGTTGAATCTGACTGGCTTTTAAAATTAAACCATGCATTTGGTCATGGTCAAAGGCTGGATGGTGAAGTAATTGCACTTCTCTATATTCATGTAGTCCTATTGGTGGATGGCTTGCATAAGATGCACAACATTGAAGGTTCGATCAATAATGAGAAGATTAACCGTAGTTACTAAATTATAGAGTTATGCACAGGAACCTAATAATAAGCTTTTAGAATTACATTGGGAATAATCACTAGAGTTGCTAGATTATTGAGTTGCGTATATTAACTTGATAAATAAAAGAAAGTGTATTTAAAAAATGTTAGAGAATATATATTTTTTTGTTTGCCTCATGAATATTTTGAACAGATAATTAAAGATTAATTCTTTTCAAGACATATAAATCATCAAAGTAAACTTTATTTCTGTGTTAAATTTTATCTCTCTTGAAAATCTTATATTTTATACATATAGCTAAAAACAAAATCTCATACAACATAATTAGGGAGTAAAGTTATTTACCAAAATTGATTAAAAAAAGTAGTAACAATTTATATATTTTAATTAAATTATTTATGATTCAAATTTTTTCTCAAGAAAAAAAAACATCAATCTTTGATCTTGTTTAGAAATAAAAATAAGTTAGACTTTAAATAAAGATCTATAATCTGACATGTTTAAGGTTTGGTTAACCTATTTGATAAAAAAAATAGATTTAAACCTTTTAAAAAAAAACTTATTTATTTAAAAAATTATACTTAAACTTATAAAAAGATTTATTAGTTCTAATAAACCAATTTATTTATCTATATTATATAATTAAAAAGTAATATACATATTATATTATTAATATAATTAAATAAAGGAAATTTTAATAAAAAAATTATTATTAATAGTTTTGACATTTTTACTACACTAGAACCTTTTGCATTCTCTATTCATAACAACGAAATCAAAAAATAGAAAATAAAAAATCTGGTAGAAGCTCTTTATATGCTATTTTAGAAATATTAGAATATTTTACATGGGATATAAGGGAGATTTAATTTTTTTTTACAAGACTATCTTCTTTCATCATACTTGTGCGTGAATGTATATTAATATACATGCATGTTTGTCTATGAATTAGCTTTCTTACCTTAGTCTTTTATTTTTATTTTAAATTCTAATTTTTTTTATAATAATATAATAAACTATATTTTATCATACAAATTAAAAAAAAAGACTTATGCACGTATTTAAATATAAAATTTTCAACTTATTTAAAATTAAGTATATTAATTTACTTAATATCATTAATATAAAATAGATATTTAAATAATTTAGATTATACATTTTAAAAAGTTAGACCAAACTTAAAAAATCTATCATATATAATAAACTAAACTTAAATTTTATTTTTTCAAAAACTGTATATTTAAAGTATTGTCTGTCATATTCTATTTTCATCCATAGTATTGTTTTTAAATGTAAGAAATTCTCATCCTAAAATAGTAACATTACTCTAGATTTATAAGAGTCAAACCGTATGGACCAACTAGTTCAACAGTATGGACGCAAAGCCCAAAACCAAACCCAAGCGAAAACGGGTCGAATAAAAAACGGGCCCACCCATACGTGCAATCCAAGCTAAGAAATATCCACATTCATTTCATTCAATCTTCTAATAAAACCCTAGCCTCGACCGACCCAACACAGCGAAGAACACCAACAACAAGTTTTCAACACCAACAAGCGAAAAAGAAAAAACCTTAGAAACATGTCAGGAGTTGGACCTCTCTCTCAGGATTGGGAACCGGTGGTGCTCCGCAAGAAAGCCCCCACTGCCGCCGCCCGCAAGGACGAGAAAGCTGTCAACGCAGCCCGCCGTAGCGGCGCCGAGATCGACACCGTCAAAAAATGTTCGCCCCTCGCCCCCTCCCCTTTCATTTCTCTTTCATTTCCACTATCGGATTTCAATTTCAGAAATAAAATGTCGTTTTTAATTTTTTAATATCTTTTATCAAAGCATCTGATTCTGTTAGGTTCTGTTCTGATTAATTATTAGAAGTTTGGGTTATACGGATTGGCTCTTGGTAATTTTTAATTACCTTTTGTTTTTGTATTGATATTATTGTAGGCGATTCGCGATCCTTCGATGGTTTTCTGTTTTATATATTTGTTGCATGTTGAATAATATATATAATTATATATAGTTGATTATTTAGGTATTATTGCTGATAATCCCGTACTTGGTACTTGTCATTGATGCGGAATTTTCATTTCTATTTTTTATTTTTTTTTTCCTAATCAATATTTTGCCTGAGTACTGTAATGAAGCAGAGTTGAATTTTTGTGATAACATTGTTGAATGTTTCTCAATTATTTTATTGGCCTTTTGTATTTGGCTGGTCAGAGTGGTGATTGTTGAATTGTCTTTTGCAGTTAATGCCGGGACAAACAAAGCTGCTTCTAGTAGTACTTCCTTGAATACGAAGAGGCTGGATGATGATACAGAGAATCTGGCTCGTAAGTATGCTTATATGTATTTTGCTGATTCAATTGTTTGCATTTTCTATTATTGAGAAAACCTCACTCCATTTATTGGGGGATTCATCTTTGCTAGCAGCATGTTTTGATTATATTCTTTTATTAGCTTGAATTTTTTGTGCTAATCTTTGGAACATTTTCACAATTACTGGGGAAATCATATTCATGTGTTAGCAGGAGTTTACTGTGGGTATCTCACATGTGCACAACACACTTTTTGATTTCATCACTCAATTTTTTTAAGCTATAGAAGTCTATACTAATCCCTATGAAACACCAATATTTCAATTTGCTTCTGATACTGATACTCTCGGATACTTTACTAATACGTATGGTGAAGTATCCAAGTCTTTAAAAACATTATGAAAATCTTATCCAATCTCAATATTCTTGGATACTTTACTAATACATATCAGTGATAGGTATAGTGAAGTATCCATATCTTTAAAAATTATGAAGTTTCTATTACATCTAAATAAGACATAAAAAAATGTTTTATGTAGAAACATAGAAACATTTTCCCTTGATGAACTAAAAACGGAAATTGTTTTTTTTATAGATGATTTTAAGAAAGAAATGCGATTGTTAGCCTTATTTCTATTCCTAAACAATAGGATGTATTTTATGATGAAATGATTTATATTTTATCTGTTTTTATAATGTATAAGAAGTGTGTTTTTAATTTAGATTTGCAAGATTTCAGTTATATATTTATATATTTACTATGTTTATACATTTAGATCAAAATTACAATCACACACATTTATTATATTTTATGAATATTGATACATATGAAGACACATATCTCACATGTATAGTATCCTAAATATTTTAAAATAATCATATCATATTTGATGTGCATCATAGACTAATTCTGTCCAAGCACAATTCAAAAAATGCCTGAATATCATGGAGATGGGAGGATAAGCTTTGGGGAGAGGGATAATCACATTTAAGTTTGTAATTGTGGTTTGGAATTTGTGCCAACTGCCAACATCTTTGGTGGCTTTTGAGCTAAATTGGTATTGCATCAAAGCATGGTTTTGGTACCCAACTACAAGCAATATTTGGTTTTGTGGGTCGTGAAGAAAAATCTTGTTCGTATGTATGTATTGGCAAAAGATATTCTCATAATTTAATGTTATATTATTACTTTGACAATATTTACATACCCATATTTATGTATCTGAAAGTGCGTTTTATGAATTATATTTGAACAACAATCATTGTAATTAAATGTCTTTTCAGGCAAATGTTTCTGAACATTCTTGCTAAAATCAAATATATCAACTCTTTTCTCTTGACTCCTCTGATAATTGGTGAGCTTGACTTAGACTCAGAACTGCGAAGGCCTTCCTGAGCAATTATTTATCAGTAGTACCCCAATCATAAGCAAACATTTTTTTTCCTACAAATTAATATACTATCTTATTGCCTGATACCCAATTAGATTGTAATATCAGTTTACCACTGCAATTGTGAAACCGACTGTTGCCTACAATGTTTAATCTGTTTATTATAGTTTTGCTTATGTTTATTAGATAAGATAACTGCTCTGGTGGTCAGCAATTATCTTATCGTTATTGTCAATCTTGGCTGTTATTGTGTCTTTCATTGAGCTCAATGGCACATCATGCAACCCATGATGTAACTGATTTCACCTAGTGAGATAAGTCTCTTGTTGTTGTTGTGTATCTTGGCTCTGCGATGGTCAAAGATGGTTGAATTATTTATTGTTGTGATAACATATTCTTATAAATATAATTAAGGAGCTTTATTCAACATAATCATGCCACTATAAGTTTTGATATTACTATATAACTTTGAACATCAATGAAGCTTCTTTTCTCGATCGTTTTGTGCATCTTGGCTGTTGTTGTGTCTTTAACTGGGCTCAATTACAAATCATGCAATCCATGAAGTATGGGATTCTAGTGGGTTTATAAGGCCTTGGGCTCTCCAACTACATGAGCTAACTTTTGTGGTGTGGTTCTCCTGAGGTTCTTATCAATTGGTATGCAATCCATGATGTAGCTGACTTCACCTAGTGGGTTAAGTCTTGTTGTCGTTGTTGTGTATCTTGGCTCTATGATGGTCAGCGATGGTTGAATTATTTAATGTTGTGATAACTTATAGATAGAATTACGGATCTTTATTCAATAGAAGCATGCCACGATAATTTTGAACATGAATGAAGTTTCTTAATCATTTGAAGTTTGAACATCAAAACTTCTCTTACATATGACACACCCCTCCTACTTTAATTCTCATATCCTGTAATTTGACTTTCTGTGCACAGATGATCGTGTACCAACTGAGCTCAAGAAAGCTATAATGCAGGCCCGGATGGACAAGAAACTCACCCAAGCTCAACTTGCTCAAGTATTGCTCTCTTTCCTGTCTTTTTTTTTTTTTTTTTTTATCAATAGGAATTATAATAACGGTATCAAGATTTGAATCTAATACTCGATGTATATTACAATTTTCCACCACTAGATCGATCATAGTGATTCATATATTGCATGTCTTTTATGTTCATCATTTATGGTTTCTTGATATTTTCTGACAAGAGTGTGATTGCTTGCAGATCATCAATGAGAAGCCTCAAGTGATCCAGGAGTATGAGTCAGGGAAAGCCATTCCAAACCAGCAGATAATTGGCAAGTTGGAGAGAGCCCTTGGTGCCAAACTGCGTGGCAAGAAATGAGGAAGCAAATCTAACGAACAGGGGTGTGTATTTAGTTTTAGATTTTTATTTCACTGTCCAAGGTTGGTTGCATTTGCACGCTTATTTTGTGTGTATGCTAGAGGGACAACTCGTGTGTTAACTGTTCAAACATGATGTATCATCATAAATAAGGATATGTTATCAGCATAAATTTACCTTGGAGCAGATGAATATGATGCCATCATGATATATCTGAAGATTCATAATGTGTTTCATTCATAGTGGAGATCGAGTACCTACCATATATTATGGATAAGGAAGGAATAAAACACTTAATTTTTCTCATTTGAAAACTAACATGGAATCGAGTACCTACCATATATGTATACTAATTTAATAAAGGGAATATTTCTTCCAATAACCTTTTATTTTTCTCATATTATGGATGATTATATCCTTAATTTTAAGAAAAATAAATAAATACTTTTAATAATTGTCATTAATCAATTCTAAGAAATTATTCATATTATTATATTTTTTTGTTTATTTTATTTTTTAAAATATTTAGAGACACGATGCGTCTTTTTTCCCTCCTTATGGATAAGGGAGGAACAAAATACTTATTTTCTCATTTGAAAAGTAACATGAGATCGAAATCGAATTTATTTTTATATTTGATTACCGAGGATTTTAAGAATTATTCTTGAGGTTTTTCTTAACTCATTAGGTTACGTGTTATTTTAAAATCTTGTGTTTTTTAATTTGATCTTTAATTTTTTTTAATGTTTATGTTTAAGAATTTTAAATTTAATTTGGCCTAAATTTGTTCATTCATCTCAAACCATATTCTTATATGATTTTTTAATTATTTATCTATTTTGACCAATTTATTGGTTGAGTTTTAATATTTTTAAATTAGCATAAAACTTAAACAGTATTACAAGATAAATATTATAGTAGAACATATGGTTAAATATTTAAAGATGTTATTTGTTAAAAATTATAAATTTTATTTATATTAAATATTTATTTTGTGCTATATAGGTTTAAATATTAATTTTATTTTTTTGACAACCATGTTATTCATATAAAAGAATTCACTGAATGAGTAATATAATTATTTTTAGTTGAGTGTTTTCTTTTGATTTTTTTTTTCATTTACGATATTTAAATATGAAAACTTTCTTATGGAATGACTTGGTATATTAATTCTTGTTGTCTTTTGTCTTTTTGTTGCTTTTATTTTTGCATTTATAAGTTAGATGATACCAAGACAAAATTATTTTTTTTTCTTTCCATATTCTTTGTAATGAAAAAACAAAAAAGTTATTTTTAGCATCTAAAACTTTGAAGCAAATTTGGCTTTAAATCTAAATTGTCCTTACATTTAGATTTTTTATATTATTTAATTAGAAAAATATTTAGATAAACTAATCAGTTATAATATTATCATATTTAAGGAGGAAAGTTTGTTATTTAGTGTATTTATTTCTCGTTAGAAACTCATAAAATCACGTTGAACGGAAAAAATAAAAAATGTTACTTTTATTTGTTGGTTTGAAATGTGTACTATCGTCGTTCAACAAAACTCAATAATAAAATAAACACACCTTTGGTTAGACAAAGAGATAAAGAGAAATGTGAAATTCACATAAAAAAAATATCTTTAAATTGTGAAATAAAAATGTAAAAATAAAAATACTAAAGACAAGTATAATTGTATTATTTTGAATTTAAAAATTTTGTTTTTTTTATTGTGTTTGCAAGTTTAATCCCAAATTACTTTAGTTTTGTAATTTTATTTTGTTCGTTAAGTTGACATTTAATGTTTAAAATAATGCTGACGTGACAACGTTAAAGAGTTTCACATAAATACTTTGTTTGAAAATTAGAGTCGTAATAAGGTTGTCCCGATGATATTACTAACTCAGGATGTTACAAATTTCATCCTTCTTGATCTCTTCTTAAGAAGTTTCAAAGGACAAAACACTTTGTTTGTTTTGATTGAAAGTGAGAGGATTCCCGCAAGAAGGAAAATAACACAAGAATCAATTCTTCCATTGTTTTGATTTCTATGTTAAAAAAAAAATAAGGAAGAAGGAGGTTGTTGTGAGTCTCACGTGAAAAATGTTTTGTCCTCTTTTAAAATTTGGATGGAAATTAAAGGAAATGATGGAGTGCATGTGTCGGTTAAAAACACAAATACCTTTAATTATTAATCATGTCACAACTCTTTTTTAATTAAGATATTTATGTTATTATATATATATATATATATATATATATTATAAGAACTAAATTACATGTTTGATTTGGCCTTTAATAAGAATTTTTAAATGCATATCTCGTCTTCAAATATTATAAATGTGATATTAATTTTTTAAACTTTTATGTTGATGTATAAATGATATGGTGTGATAACTTGAGAAAATAAGAGAAAAATATCATAAAAGAATTATTATAAATAACTATGAACATAGATTGAATCAGATTAGATTTGAAGTATATCAGTTTAATTAGATTGGATTTTTTTTTTCAGTTTTCAATTCAATCTAATCATATTAGGTTTGGATTAGATTGATTCATTGAATTTATTGCTAAGCTAATAAAATAAAATCATATTAGATAACTTAAAATATATTTTCATGTTATCTGTAACACTGTACTTAGGTGAGTTGTGAGGATCTTTGGTTGAAAGTTCATTTGACCTTGGGTGAAAAGTATATAAGGTTTCTCTTTAAGAGTTGAGCCTTATAAATTCAATTTCTTAAAGACTTTAGAGAGAGAGAGTAGAGTGTAAAGCTTTGGATTTCTACATCTTCTTCTTCATTCTTTTAGGTTCCCTTGTAGGTGTGAGAGGTTTTTTGGGATCCTCAAAGTAGTGATTCAAGCATTAGAGGTTAAGGAGTTGAGTTGGCTGGTTGCGAAGCTTGTGGAAGCTCGAAATCCTTCATTCCTCTATTTTCGTTTCGATTGCTCAGAGTAAAGGTAAGTGATGGAGAACCAGCCCATCAGTAAGGGAAACTAAGGTCAATTCATCTTTTATTTTGTGAAGTTACTTGTTGCTAGGTTATGGTTAAAACCTGATTATACTGGCAGATTTATGGATGATAAGACAAAAATGTTGAACTTGAATGGGTTAGGTTCATAAAAGTGAGAATTGGATGATTTGTTGGATTAGTGGTTGCATGCGAGTTTTGATGCCAAAATTAAGTTGTATGAAGTGTCTATACTTGTTTGATGGTGTTACATGCTTGGTTGGGTTGAATTCTAGGTCTTAGGAGGCAATTTTTTAAGTCTGCCATATCAGATTTTTTATATGGCACTAAGTATGCCTTCATGGCGTTGAGCGTAGTTTCGACAAGAAAATTTTATCTCGATCATTCCAGATGCAGGATCAATGACATCAGGCATGAAGAGAGAGACTTGTCTTGAGTTGGGATGAAGTTGGGCACGATTTGAATGGCATCAGGCATGATAAAGTGTGAAAGTCCTTAACTTGGTGACGTCAGATGTTGTTGAGGTGACGTTAGGTGTGAGTCAGACAGAGATTCTTTGCATGAGATGAGACTGAGTGTGAGTTTTGCACGCCAGGCGTGAGGCTTAGGGGATCTCCACCTCAATCACGTCAAGTGCAGTTTGGATGACACCTAGTGTGAGCGAGACAAAAAGCTCCCTGCCTCGATGGAGTTGGGTGCAAGGTATGTTACACCGAGCGTGAGATGCTTTGATGATATGTTGATGTTTTGGTGAACTTGCATGATGAACATGAGTATATTATTGCATGTTGCATGGTGTATGAGGATTATTTTATATATTAGATTATATATGACATATATATATGATTATACAATGGATGATGATTATTCTATATATGTTGATTAGATATGGCATATATAGATATTTGTGTGGTGTTGGATGACCATGAGCATATGTATGCTATATATATGTGTGTGTATGTGTGCGTGATGTTGTTGATCTTTGTATGTATTGACCAGATGTAATGCATATAAAGGATGTATGTATGATGTTGTTGATTTCTATATGTGTCGACTGAATGTGATGCATATAGATGATGCATGGTGAGGTGAATGCTGAGAATGTAGTATGACCATTGATTAGAAAACTCTCCTTGAGGAGAGGAAAATATTTTAAAAATTAAAGATCCAACATATGGAATCTTGGAGTGGTGCTCGAGTAGGCCATTGATTAGAAAACTCTCCTTGAGTAGGTTTATCTCTTGGAGTGGGTTTTGAGGTGTGTTAACGTCTCCTCTAGGTCCTTAGTTAGTGGTTAAATAAGGTAGGAGGTTGAGGGTTACAACCCTTAACCAAGTACTTGGAAATGTTGCATAGTTCTTTGAGGATAATTTGTAGGCAAACTCCATATGTGACTTAGTAATGCATGTCAAGGTCGTGGTAAGCCTATACCTAATTGTAATATTCCTAATGGTGGAGTCAAACTTTCTTAGTGTAAGTGACAAGACTTGATAAGCTAGAGGAGGGATTGATATTTCATTTTACTGTAATTGAGCCAGCACTTTGAGTGCGAAAATGATTCGATTGGTTTGGTATGGTGGATTCACTTAAACTGCTTATGTTGTTAGGAGATCTCTGTAGGCGAATGTTTGACGACACATTAATTGAAGTGTTTGCATATGATGTATGTATGCAACATGATCATGTGCATTGTTGAATGTTTTGCTTGACATGGTGTGGATAAGATACATGTTTGTTTTAGGGTGTTTGGCTTTCATGTATGTATTGTTATGATGTTATATAGGTCATAGAATCATTTTCTATACTTACATGTTTTTGAACTCTAACTTACCCTTTCTGTTTTCATGTGATTTGAATTGCGATGATCATACGTTGTATAAGAGCATATAAGATTAAGCTTGAGAAGCTATTGTTAGTAAGTGGTGGGATCTTTTGTTGACGACGGTGCTACTATGTGTAGCTTGTATAGTTGTGTTCAACCAACAATAGGAAATAGGATTATTTTGTGATTACTATATACATATATATAACCTGTTTATATTAATATAGGCGTTTTACTTTTATATTCATATTATATATGTATATATAACACGTTCTTTCCTTTAATCTTGAATGTTCTAGTAGATTAATTTCTATTGCTAGTAGTAATGATTTCATTTTGTGTGACGACCAATACAGGTCGTTACATTATCAACTAATAAAATATATTAATGATAAGAATTTGATTATTGGCATTGTAAAATATAACTTAAAACATTAAAATTAGAAACTTAAAATGTAACAAATATCATTAAATTAAAACTTAATTTGTCCAACACCAGAATCTATAAATTTATTATATCATTCTCAACAATACAAATTCAACAAAAATGTTTGAAGTGTTACAAACCAACATTGCAAAACCCTATATGTAATTAGCACTAAACTTTAATAAATGAGAGACACTTACAACGAGGTAAGTCGAAAATTTGGGCTTTATTTTTTACCTTTAGTACTAAATGAATGAGTTGTTTTTTTTTTTTTTTAAAGGTTGAATGAGTCCCTTATCCCATCTCTATCTTGTACTAGTAACCCAAATTTAATAACTCAAAATAAATATAATAAAATAATAATAAATATTAAATTAATCAAATGAATCAATTGGTTCAATTTCTGAAAATCAAAATTCAATATCTAAATTAAATTGATTAAATTTTCAATTTTTAAATTCAAACTAATCCAATAATTTAAACTAATTCAATTTTTTGGACTTAAATTGGATTAGATTTATTGAATCATCAAATTAGATCAAATCCGCACCACCCTAATTATAAATGAGTTTTAAACTTCTGACCTTTAAAAATTATTTAAGAATAAAATATAAATTTAGAATATTTAAATGCTATCAAGTATCAATTTTTTTAATCTTTGTAAATTAGTTACTAGTGATATTATAAAAAATATATGAAGGAGTAACATTTTTTTCTTTCCTCCTACCTTTTACATAACTGAACATATTTTTTTCTATTTTCTTTTTTATTGAACAATTAAGAAAATAATCTAGTAAAAAATTATGATAAATGTACATAAACTCTAAATTCTAAATCATAAATCCTAAACTTAGATTTGATCCTTATTATAATCATAATAATTTTTTTATGAAAAAGAAAAAAGAAAATTAGCTTTAAAAAATTTCAATTTTTTACATTTACTTTTACTTATTGTTTCCTTCTTTTTTCTCATTTACGTTTTTTTTCTTTTCAAATCAACCATAGCACAAGGCATACTGTGTTGCTGTTGCCGGCCTCCGGCTATGAAGGTATCTGTCCAATAAAACATTTGCCGACCACACTCTAAACATGCCTTTCTTGTTTTCTTCTTTCTTATCATTCAGCCACATGTACACGTTGGTTCAATTTGATTTTTTTTCTTCTAATTAATGTAAAGCATTAAAATAAACTTTTATAATTATAAATAAATAAAATATACATTGTTCATTCAAATAAAATTAAGTTTTAAAAACAAATAATTTCTCTTTTAAGAAAAGAACATTATAGGATGTTTTTATTCTCAAAAATCAAATTTAGTATAAGAAATTTACAACAACCCATTAATTTGAGCTACTGAGCATAATGTAATGCTGAATTTTTCAAAAGATCAGCCGTCACAAACTTCAACGACAAATCGAAAACAAACAATAGCCTATTTAAACTGTTTTGATTGGCTCATCATGTATTGTTTGATTAAAAGAGGTAAAAGCTTAAGTACTCTTCAAAGTTCAAACGTGAACATATATCATTATTATAATTGCAACCTTTTTGTTCACCACGATTGTCATATAAGTGGAGTCCATTTTACCTTAGCTTTTCAAAATATTTATATTTCTGGTCACGCATCCAAAGGAGGCATTTATTTATTTGTAAGGGGACACTTGCATAGTTTTTTACAAGAATATCTTAATGAGGGTCATGTTGTGGAGTGAGATTGAGAATGAGTTTGAGACCGAAAGCAATGAATGTTGAATGAGGAGAGTTTGTCCTATTTGGATATTGTAAATAGTATTAACACTGTTTAGTCTTAGTGTCCAATCAGGCCTGACAAAGGTGCCGGCCTCAATGTTTCCTTGCAAATTGCAATTGCATTCTCATGTCCCTCACCTTTCTCCTTCTTTTTTCTTCTCCCTTCCAATCATGATATTCTAACATTGGACTCATTGTTTCTAAAAATTTGAAAAGACCCAACTCATTTAACACTTCCTTTATTTTAAAGACTTACCTTGAATGTATTTTAAAATTTTAACAAATTATTTTTTGTAATTTCCAAAAAAATTAATTTATATACACATTGTTGAATGTGTAAATCAATTAATGTAAAACTACCACCAAATACATTACTTTAGAAATATTTACACTTAATCAATGATCTAAAAATTGAATCTTAGATATATATTTATTTTAAATATTTTGAAAAAAAGTTTTGTCTATCCATAGTAATCGTATCTAATTCAATCATAATTATCTATAATGAAATGAAAGTGGTTTATAAAAAATGATTAAAGTATTTTTTAGTTTATATAATTTTACTAACATTACTTTTTTAGTCCTATATTTATATTTTTGTCATTAATTTTTTTAACATCATTTTCATATAAATGATGTGAGCTTATTAAATTTACATGTCAGTTATATATTTAAATTTTTAGAGAGTGATGTGTAAAAAATATTATTAAATAAATACTTTTTTAGTAATATTGTTTGATCAAATAGTAAATATTCAATGGATTTGAATTCAAAAGCAAAGAACATGTATTTTTTTAAAGACTATATTTATTTTTTACAAACAAAATTATTTAAAATCACTATTAACAACAAAATTCAATCTTCTAGTATTTAAACAAAGAACATGGATTTAAGTTAAAATATCAAAACTATAAACATTAAAACTAAAAATTATAAAATCGAAAATAATGACAATAATACTTGTGTTTTATTATATTTTTATATTTTAAACAAACATATAGAGGCATATTCCTTTTTCTTATTTTTTAAGATTTAAATATATTTTTTGTCTATATAATTTTTATTTTTATTTTTATTCTCTATAATTTTTTTATTGCTTCATCTCTAATATTTTATGATGTTTTAAAAATAGGTTTTATTGTCAACTTTCATTAAAAAAACTCATATGTGTGATAAATGAAATACATATTATATATTATATTCCACTTAACTATTGTCATGTAAATAAATTGATTCTATTTTTTTAGATAAAATTTTAAAACATACTTTACTGTTATCACTTCATCATATTCTTTAAGCACACCCTCTTAGGATTGTGTAATGTCGCATCTTGGCGGTTGGTGGTGGTGGAGCTAGACCACCGACTTCCCTTCTTCAATAAAGTGTCTCACTTGTTGCTATTGTGATAATCATGGTAAGTGACAACGATCTTGATGATCTTAAGTCAACAGACATAATTCTTCTTAACCCCAAAGGAAACGACATTGTTAATGGTGCTTCACGTGGCATCATTAACAATGTTGTTTCCTTATATTAATTGTTTGTTTTAATTTAGTCTTATTTTTATTTTTGGTCTCAATTTGGTCCCAAACTAATTAATTGGTTTCAATTTTGTCCCAAATTTATTAATTGGTTTCAATGTGGGACTTCCGTCCAAATTATTTAAACGGAGTTAACTTTTGGTCACGTGGATGCCACGTAGATGCATACGTGGATGCCACGTGAATGCTACGTGGATGACAATTTTTTTGAAAACACCAGGACCCAGAACGACCCGTTCTAAACCAGAACAGGCCGTTCTGGTTTCACTTTTGGTGTATTAATTTTGTAACTGAAACGGGCCGTTCCAGATGCAAAAATTAACACACCACCAGTGCAGCAGAACGGACCGTTCTGAAACCAGAACGGGCCGTTCTGGTTTCAAAACGGGCCGTTCTGGATTCAGAACGGCCCGTTCCAAAACTGAGAATATAATATTCTTGACTTAATTGTGTTTTTGATCGCTCAAGTATTATAATTATGTAATTTTGATCCCTAAGGTTTTAATTGAGTAATTTCAGTCTTTAAAAGATTACAGTTGTGTAATTTTAGTCTCACAATTTTTAATTGAACAATTTTTAATGGGAGAAACTAAAATCGTACTATTATGATATTCGAGGGACTAAAATTGTTCAATTAAAAATTGAAGGACCAAAATCGCGCAATTGCAATTCTTTAAGGACTAAAATTACCCAATTAAAATCTTGGGGATCAAAACAGCACAATTGTAATACTTGAGGGATAAAAAATGCAATTAAACCAATATTATTTATTAATTTTATTAAAAAATATAATAATTTTGAAAAATATTTTTTTATGGTAAAAATTTTAAAATTACTTATTTTTATAAAATACAATTGTCTTATAAATAGAGTAATAATTTTTTCTTTTTCTCTTTCTGTTTGAAGAAATATTTAAGTATCACTTTATAATTTTTTGCAACTTATTTAAAATTAGAGGAATAAAATGATAAAAATTAATAAGATAAACATAATAAAATAAAATATAAAAAAA